GTGTGTGTGTGTGTGTGTGTGTGTGTGTGTGTGTGTGTGTGTGTGTGTGCGTGTGAGTGTGTGTGCGTGTGTGTGTGTATGTGTGTGTGTATGTATAACTCAAAGACGGTAGCACATACTTCGAACAGAGCGCATATGTGCGTTTGACAATGGATTCTTTGCCCCTCCATAGGTAGTCGGATATTTCCTGTGGCGAAGTCGGTCGCAAAGGCATTGTATCTGCGAACTCTGCGGGCTATTGCGTGAAGTGCCAAGCAACGTGCATAGATGTTGAGAACAAGAACAAATTCCGTCTTGTATGTATGTGTAGATAAATATAATTTTTACGCGTGTCTCGAATAAACACCACCGCGTACTTTGCTCGCAGATAGGCGTTTGGAGACAAATGTTTCAGCGCAAAATGTTTTTCATTTGTATTTCCAAAAATGTTCAAGTTGAAAACACATCAACAATACAACAGAAACGATTGGACGAACACATCATACACGCACGACACACCACAACCAATTTAAACCCTGACAATACGTATACAGACTGACCACAACAGATACAGCACAGACTTGAAGATGCGTATGCTTAAGCTGTTTTCTTGATTCCTATTGTGATGAGTGAATTGTGACCTTGCATAACAAAAACACAAAGAGGAATATCTTCATGGTATCCAAAGTGATGGATCAAATTTTGGGAATGCTATGCAACCACACCCGCATATTGATTAAAAAATAATGTAGGATCACGTCGCAGACATACCATGATCAAGAATAATTATGGATACACTTAGAAAGACTGACAATTGCCGGCTTAAAGTTAGTTGGTGATTCCATTGACATTGTGATGAACCGATTGCGGTGATGCTTTACAAATGCACGCCCACGAACAATCACGAACCATCAAAATTACACCACAGACAACGCAAACGAAGCAACGGATATAGAGGATATAGACTTATACCTGCTGGCGCAGAATGTATTTGATCTTATCCAAAGTGATCGCCAAATTCTGTTCTCTATTGCCGTGCACGCCGGCGGCTTCAACTCCCGCGGATTCCTAGTATTGTATTTTTCAAATATCGGGCAATGATGCCAAATTTGAATTTTAGGGCACCCAAATTATAATTTCTGGTTTGAAACTAGCGATTGAATTAGTGATTCTCGTGGAAACCTAGTGCGTAGTATGTACAGGAATATACAACCTGTATATAAATATATATGCTTGGGAAGAACATACGTACAAGTTTGCATTCCTATTGGCTCAAATTTCAGTCAAGTGAAATATTTTCTAAAGCTCATGTTATAATATATGGACAGCACTACATGAACGAGTATGTATTAGTGTATGACCAATGACAATAGTAAAAAAACACTACTTATCACAAAAATGACAAATCAAATCTCGTATCACAGAAACAACAAATAAAACTGCCTATCATAAAAACAACAAATAACCTGTTTAAAACAAAAACAATGATTAAATTGCTTGTATTAAACGAAACAATGATTAAAATTGCTTGTATTACACGAAACAATGATTAAAATTGCTTGTATTTAAACGAAACAATGATCAAATTTGCTTGTATTTAAACGAAAACAATGATCAAATTTGCTTGTATTTTAAAAGTAAATAAAGCTGCTTATAACAGGCGTTTCTACGTACAGCTTCAAGCGAGTTGCCTGCTCCATACTGCAATTACATTTGATAGGCACGGAGTCTCTTGCACATCACACCACAACAGCTCCAGCACGTAGCGACAAGAGATGATAGTCGTATACCATTGGCAATAAGATAAATACATACGAAGAGGCCCATAGAATTGTTAGTATATATATATATACGTGGTGTCGGTCGAGGTAGAATAATTTACGGAATAGTACGCACGATTAATACCATACATACGAGAGTGTAGGGATGGCCGAAATCGTCTTTGAAGTCCGCTGTCAGCACATGGGGCATCATCATTCTCTCGTACTCAATAAACCTGGTTGAAAAATGGTACAATTATCAGGTAGTTAATCTTCGGGAAATGGGAAAACTGGGTTGGTAAAAAGCAACTCGCAACAGTCTATATATATTCCGGATGAATGTACAATATCTTTTTTGTTGTTTTCGACATCGCAATACGACAATGACATATTCCCATACACTGCACAATATGTGACCCTCCGTGCCAAACGCACATATATGTGCGCATCTATATCCGCCTGGGATCATTCTACCTGGGACCACACAGCATCCCATAGCACACGCACTCCAGAAAATGAAAATCCAAACGCAGAATATTGGGTGAATATCGAACACAACCCAACTTAACCACAGCGAAGCAAACCATACCCAGACCCAGCATGAAAGTAGAGACCGGATTCAATAGAAATAAATTGAGAGAGAAAACATACTTCAGGATCAAACTTGCCCATTTCTGCAGCCAATCAGGACAACCAGTAAGTACACTTGCATTGAAATCGTGACTTGACAGTCTCTGCCTGTCGTCCTCTGTAAGCTCTGGGCTTGAACAGGCCATTAGAATAGCCCCGGTGCGATCACATGTACTATGGTATTTCGCCAAAATCTGATCGATTTCGGGTAGCGTATGATTATAGGACGGATTGTAGGTCAGTAATCTACATACTTTGAATATACCGCATGACCAAGGGGTTTGCAGAATATGAATATACACGCAAGTATATGTATATATATATATATATATATATATATATATATATATATATATATATATATATATATATATATATATATATATATATATATATATATATATATATATATATATATGTAGTTAGTGTAGTGTGTAGTGTGTG